AGCACCCCCAAGTCCCTTTCCTCAGGGCTGCTTTCCAATACCTCACCCCCTACTTTGTATTGGTGGTGAGGATTGTTCCGGCCCAGGTGCAGAACCTTGCATTTGCTCTTGTTGAACCTCATGAGGTTCACCTGGGCCCACCTCTCCAGCCTGTCCAGGTCCTTTTGGATGACATCCCGTCCCTCTGGTGTATCGACAACACCACACAGCTTGGTATCGTCCGCAAACTTGCTGATGGTGCCTTTAATCTCCCTGTCTATATCATTGATAAAAATGTTAAACAGCACCGGTCCCAGCACGGACCCTTGAGGAACACCACTTGTGACTGGTCTCCATCTGGACTTTGAGCCATTGAGTACTACCCTCTGGATGCGACCATCTAGCCAGTTCCTTATCCACTGAACAGTCCACCCATCAAATCCGTACCCCTCCAATTTGGCAATCAGGATGTTGTGGGGGACCGTGTCAAAGGCCTTACAGAAATCCAGATAGATCACATCCATAGGTTGCCCCTTGTCTACTGACCAAGTCACTTTATCATAGAAGGCCACTAGGTTAGTCAGGCAGGACCTGCCCCTAGTAAAGCCATGTTGGGTGTCCCTCTGAGCATTCTCCATGCAGAACAATCCCAGCGTTCTCAGCCTCTCCTCATTTGAAAGATGCTCCAGTCATCTTAATCAGCTTTGTAGCCCTTTGCTGGACTCCAGTATGTCCATGTCTCTCTCATACTGGGGAGGTGAGCGCTTCACACAGCGATCCTGGTGAGTCACCAGTGCAGTGGGGAGGGAGCCCAGGAGGCTGGTGACTCTCTCTGCCACAAGGGCTCCTTGCTGTTCTTATGGTCAACTTGGTGTCCACCAGGGAAATGGTGAAGCATGGTCCTTATGCTCAAATGATTTGTAAAGTGCTCGACACAGAGGTCTGCTAATATTTTTTTTTTAATGTCTGTAAATTAAAAAACAAAAATATACCATCACTTTAATGGGACCTTTTTAGACTCTTTTTTCATAATGAAGCAGTGAACTTGCTAAATTTTCCATTACTCATAGTTTTTTATGCTTAAAAACATCTCTGTTGACCTGAAAAAATATGCAAAAGCTGAAATTAAACATAGTTTGTTTTTCAGCGCGTATATAATTTGTAAGCCTTGATGTTTCCAACTCTGTATTGTTTCAGTTCTGCTTTTTTTGAAGACTGAATAGCAAGTCTTAAGAGGATATTGCATTCCTTATTTTTTTTCTGATTACTGTTGGTCTTTTTGCAATAGAAGCGAGTTCATTTGCGCATGAAAAGGAAATAGCACTGATTTTTTTGAAGTCTGCTAAAAGTCAGCACACCTGACACGGAAAATAATCCTCCATTTTCTCATCAGCCTTGAAAGTGAATTTTGAAGGCAATGCTGCGTGAAGCTTCAGACTTCCAAGCAATGAAGATTTCTTTCCTTCCCCCCCCCCCTGCCCCGTTCATCTTGGTAGGATATTTGGAACTGGGTTGATAGCCTGGCATCTTTCTTTTGTATGTTGCTGAGCAAAACGTTCTTCAACAGATATTCCAGAAGGGTTCTCATTTTATATGTCTGCATTTCACAGAATCACAGAATCTTCTAGGTTAGAAGGGACCTTAAAGATCATCTTGTCCAACCGTCAACCTAACTGACAAAAATAGACACCCACAGAAACATGGGATGTGATTTCTCTTCCTGCTCCCAAAATGCTCGATAGACAAGCCCTCTCTGATCAAGAGTCCTTCCCCATCTCTCCTGTAGCCCCCTTCAGGTACTGGAAGGCCATTAGAAGGTCCCCCCGGAGCCTTCTCTTCTCCAGGTTGAACAACCCCAGCTCTCTCAGCCTGTCCTCATGGGAGAGGTCCTCCAGCCCTTGGTCATTTTTATGGCCCTCCACTGGACCTGTTATCCTTCCTCCATGCTGGCATATCCAATCTTTGCTGGTGACACTGGGGTTGTGGGCCACCATTCACAAACTTGTTCTGCAAGTTGTTGTGATACCTACAGCCCATGAGTCGCTGAAAGTAGATGCAGGAGCTGTGGCATTTCCCACTTAAAGTGTGGCTTTTCACTACACAGACACGTTATTTGTGTTGGACACCTAGAAAGAGAAGTCCCCAAGAATGCTTTGTCTTGAGGGGTTTTTTTCTTAATATCTTTTGCTTGAACAGGTTTTAGAGCCTGTTAGCAGCCTGAGCAACGATGGGGAGCCTTGTATTATGACTTACCACGCTGTTAGATTCCATCTCAGCGGTGTTTTGGTTGAATCTCATGTAATTTCCTAAGAGAAAAAAGCAATAGAAGCCAGTAACCGTGCTTTATATTTAAGCACTGATAGTCTGACTTTTTGCTCTTTTTTTTTTTACTTACAGACATCAAATGAGACGAGGGAATCTGCAGAAAAGGCCCATTTCTTCAATGTTCCTGCCTTCCTGACGGTCTCTGGTCAGCTCCATTTGGAAGTGATGGCGGGGTGAGCAAAATGGGAAGTTTTTCTCTTGATCTGGGGGATCTTCTCAGTTGGTAATTTTTGCCCCATTGGTACCCATTAGACACCTGCCCCACGTGGGCCAGCAATAAATTGAGCAGCAGTGGCTGGATGATGGTGTGAGAGGCCAACCCAGGCAGGGGGAAATTAAACTGCCTTCTAATTCTGGACTTTGAACTAGTTTTAAATATTAGGAGCCTCCTTCTGCTTTCTATGGATTGGGAATTTTGGATGGCTGTAGGATTGGTGCTACTAACTGTAGTACCTGAAGTGTCTTTTTGCTGCTGTTCACATCTGACGTGTCTTAGCCAAAAAAATCTTTTTCATTTTAGCCATCACATTCCTTTCCTCTTTTCTCCTTCTTTTCTTGTCCCCCTCAGTCTTCCTGTTGTGTTTCTTACTCCTGCCAATTCTCACTTCTCCTGTTTCTGGCCACTGAAATGATCACAGTCAAACAGTTAATACTGACTTTGATTTTTTTTTTAAAAAAAAGTTATCCTTAAGCTTTTAATGTTAATATTTCACTGAGAATGTTAGGGGTGAAGGTGTCAGTCTGTCAGAGAGACAGTTCCCTTTGATTAGGGGATTTGGTCCTCGTCTACACTGAATTTTCCCAATAAATTAACCAAATTAGTACATTAAACAGAGGGAGTCAAATCAGTACAGTCCCTTATTTGAAGGCACAGTTTTCTGAGTGTAGGTTTTCCTCAGGTGGGGTACTTCAGCCAAATCACTGCCTGCCACTGAATGGCTGATAAAGCCTGTCAGAAACCAGGTAGCACTGCAGTTGTTTGCCACTTGCCAAGGGGGTTTGTCATGCACTTTAAAAGTGATTTTAAAGTCATTATAAGTGATTAGTTACTGTGCAGTACAAATCTCCTAAAGATGAGAGGGCTAAAACCCTCGCTTTAGAAAACGTGAACTTGGAAGATATCCTTTTTCATGTGGAGGTTCTAACGAGTATTTCTAATAGTCTTAGTAATTGCTGTCTGTGCCTCATATCCAATGTTGAGAACCAAATAATAAATGTTTAGCTGTGGGTTTGTTTGTTCTGTTGTTTGTGTTGTTTTTTTTTTAATTTAATCACTGTTGCACATTTAATTGGCTGCTGATAAATAGCTGCAGCGAGATTGTTCAAAGGGCAAGTTTTGGGTATAAATCAAAAGGTATAAAGCTATTTTCTGCTTGGCTTGTTATCTCTGAGAAACAGTGTCTTTTCTCAGACCACCTAGATGGCTGTGATCTGCTGAACTACCCAAGCTAAAGGTTCTGGATGGACAGGATGTTTCTCATGTGGTGGTGCCCTGGCTGCTGTGACAGAAGCACAGCTCACTTGGCAGCCAAAGGCTGATGCGTCATCTCAGACATTAGCTGGGGGAAAGTTAATGAGGAAGAGGTTGGTTTAACTGTAGGGGTGATGGAGTTTTTGCATCCCTGAAAGGAGACGAGATGACATGCATTTGGACTTAATTGCCTGTCATGCGTTGTGACCTTTATTGAAAGACGTAATTCCACAAATCAAATAAGTCGAAAGAAAAGGTATGGATTGTAATGATTAACTTGACATACAGTCTCACTCTCTTACATCAGTGTGTTCCTTTAAATAGTACACAGCCTGCTCTGGGGTGGAGCAGGAGGCTAAACTGGACAGATGCAAGACCTGTCTGCTAAATAATTTTTTCCATTGATATCACTCAGGTGCACTTTGTACTCTAGAGATGGGTAAAAAAAAAAAAAAAAATCAATGCACTTCAGTGTGCAGTACAGTACATTACGGCTTTGTGGTCCTATTTTACAGTAGTGTGTTGTTCTTACAGGCATGCGATCTGTAAAAAAAAAAAAAAAAATCAATGCACTTCAGTGTGCAGTGCAGTACATTACGGCTTTGTGGTCCTATTTTACAGTAGTGTGTTGTTCTTACAGGCATTTTAAATTGATCCAGTGCCATCTAAATTTAGATAAGCTGTGTTTATTCATAATAGGGCATAGCTGTTCTGTGAACCTGCTCCTTTTATTTTGATTTTATTTAAGCACACGGAGTTTTTGAGGCCTGCAGCTCAAGTGGTATTGAGTCCCTTCAGTCTTCAAAAATAGATCAAGCTCTTCTCCGTGCAGAAGCACTGTGGTGATGCATCACAGTATTAACCCTCCACGTACTGTGAAACCCTTTAGATACTGTGACAGTTTTATTTGTGGTTATCAATTTGGGACTCTTACATGATGAAAGAACATTAAGGGCATATTCGTAACCAGAGCTGCTTGGCCAACAAATGTGTTCTGACGATGCTTCCAGAGTAGCAAAAAGTGGGTGTCCTTCACTCTCCCAAAACCAGAAATGTTCTGGTCTTCCCAGTAAACAAAGCAGCCAAAACAGTAAAGATTTATGCATTTTGGATTTGATCTTATGACATTTGCCCTTTTGCTGCCGTCTGTTTTAGCCAGACTCATTTTTTTTCATGCCCAGAAAATGAACTATTCTTCTAAAATACCCTTGAGCTTAAATAAAACATTTGCTGCAGTCTTAAGGCTCAGTTGTTAAGAAACAACTGGTTCCTGAGAATTTGTGGGAGGAGACCAAGGTAGAAATGTTTGGAATTCCCTTCCCCATCTAGTCTTGGCCCATATCCTGTTGTGACTTGCTGTGGGATGTGGGAGTTGCAGAGACAGATCCTGCAGAAGCCCATTAGAAACCAGGGATGGAGCAGGAGAGGTATGAGAGGCAGGAGGAATTTGTCCATGGGGTTTACGTGGCAGGGAACAGAAAGCCAGCTGGGCAGTCGTGTCTGTCTGGAGTTGGCTTTTAGCTTTACAGAGCTCACGAGCAACCTCCAGGCTGTGGTTGGAAAAGTCTGGGCAGGAGAGCTATGGAGAAGACTTACCAGGTGTGTCTGGAACCAAGTCTTCTGCTGTCCTTGCTGAGAAGTCACCTGCAGCCCATGGGGTATCATCTGGATACTTGTGCCTTGTTGTCCAGGGCTCAGGGCTCCTTTTTATGGCAGGGCTGCTTGGTGCTGCTCCTGATAACAGGAGAGAACAGTGATCCTTTTCTAATTAGTGAGTTTTTAACCTTTTTCTTTGAGGAAAAGTGAGAAGAGAGGTGTTCCTACATTTATTGACCATCTGCTGTGCTGCTGCCTTATTGAAGGCAAGGTCAGAGAAGTTCATCTTGTCTCTCAGTATGACACGAACAGCCTACTTGGCACAACTTCTCATCTCATTGTACTTCATCTTTGCAGTGACGGCATCTATGTTGACTGCTCAGGGTGTCTGAATCATTGTCAGCTGCTATAAATCTCTAGGCTCTTTAAGGTCTCCAGAAAAGTCTTTATTCAGTAATACAGCTCTCCCCTTCAGTCTTCTCAGCCTGGGGTGAGTCAGTAACCAGCCTATGTGGTAGAAGTTTGTAGGACTCTATGTGTCCCCATAACTGGCTTTAAATGTCACTGGTTTGTTGTGAAGTTCCTTGTGGTATTTCCCCCCCACCCCGTGATCCTCTGCTGAGGATAAAGACCCCTCTGGGGACCTGAACTGGGCTGGAGGGTCTGTGACAGCTGAAGATGGTTCAGAGGCGTACTGGAGACAGCCAAAGCCAATTGTTGCCAAGAAGAACAGCTCACTGGCTGTATTTACTCATTTTTTTTCCCTCCCTTCACCCATCTGCGCTTCCCAAAACCTCTACCTGCTCCTCTCCTTTCAGCTGTTCTTGGTAATAGTTTACATCATTATTTTGCATTGATTTTCCTTGTGCCACGTTTCATCCCAGGCACTGTCTGTTCTCCCTTTTGCATCATGAGCTTAACAAAAACTGCTCTTCCTAAAAGCTCTGGGGCTGCTCCCCTCTCTAAATCCCAGGATGAGTTCTCTTCTCAATCCTTGCCCTCCCTAGCTCTTGTTTCTATTCTCTTATCAGGCCTTCAGTAGGTTTTTCCTCTCTTGTTCATCTCTCATTCTCTTGAAATTCACTGCAAATGGGTAAAAGAGTTAGAGGCAACTGAGTAGCAGCCTGCAAGGAGGTTGTCAAGAAGACAAGCCCTCTCTTTGCAATGGTGAATGACCAGAGGACAAGAGACAATGGGGATAAGTTGAAACAAGAGAAGTTCTGAGAGGGCATGAGGGGGGCAAGGAGGGGGAAATCACTAAGAGATCAATCCAGCAGTGGAAAAGATTGCTGAGAGAGACTGTGCACTCTTCACCCTTAGAGGTTTTCAAGACCCAGCCAGATAAAGCCTTGAGCAACCTGGTCGGGGCTGAGAGAGACTGTGCACTCTTCACCCTTAAAGGTTAAAGACCCAGCCAGATAAAGCCTTGACCAACCTGGTCAGGCCTTCTCACTGACCCTGCTTTGAGCAGAAGGCTGGACCAGAGACCTCCCGAGGTCCCTTCCAGCCTGAATTATTCTGTCCATCTAAGTTTATTCTTGGCTTCATTCTCATGGGCGGGGAGCAGAGCGAAGCCCCTGCAATTCAAAGGGAGATGGTGAGGGACCTGCTCCAACACCTAGATGCAAACAAGTCTATGGGACCAGATGAGATCCACCCGAGGGTGCTGAGGGAACTGGCAGAAGTGATATGATTTGTCTTCTAGGCCCTTCACTAGTTTAGTTGCCCTTCGTGGGCCTTCTCACTGACCCTGCTGTGAGCAGAAGGCTGGACCAGAGACCTCCCGATGAGGTCTCCCCTCAGCCTCCTCTTCCTCATACTAAACAGCCCCAGCTCCTTCAGCTGCTCTTCATATGATTTGTCTTCTAGGCCCTTCACTAGTTTAGTTGCCCTTCGTGGGCCTTCTCACTGACCCTGCTGTGAGCAGAAGGCTGGACCAGAGACCTCCCGAGGTCCCTTCCAGCCTGAATTATTCTGTCCTTCTAAGTTTATTCTTGGCTTCATTCTCATTTTCCTCTCCACCAACTCTGTGATTCTGTGATTCTGTGATTTTCCTCTCCACCAG